ATGTATGTATGTATGTATGTATGTATGTATGTATGCTTATTTATATGCAAGCAGACACTGGGATCCAGAGATATGAAATTTTATGGATCTCCATGGTTTGAAAATGAAAGAAAATAACCCAATATTATAATAATGTGTTACTGATAATATAATTTTGATTTACCATTAATTCTCCCAGGTTATTTAAGGACATTAAGAAGATATGGAGCAGAATGTTCAATTTAATTTCCCCACACCACACTTTTTTCTTCTCCCTATATCCCATCACAATTTAATTTAATTTATTTTTTTCCTGCTCTGGTTTTATGAAAGTGGACTCCCAATTAATGGGAGGATATGGGAAAATAGTAAAATACCTTTTGAGATTGTTTTAAGTAATTTTAAGTTGTTTGTTTGTTTGTTTGTTTGTCAAGCATGTATAAGATAACAAGTATAGGTATGAACATGAACAAAGGAAACAAATACAGATAAATGTAAGACAGGGATGGTAGGCACACTGGTGCGCTTATGCATGCTCTCTTTTAAGAATGGGGTGTGGTCCGTGGTAGACAGTTTAAGGTTGAAGCTGTGAGGGTTTGAGGCTGTAATAACGGAGTCAGGTAAAGCATTCCAGGTGTTGACACACTGTTGCTGAAGTCGTATTTTCTGCAATTGAATTTGAAGCGGTTTACCTTGAGTTTGTATCAATTGTTTGCCTGTGTATTATTGTGGTTGAAGCTGACATAGTCATTGGTAGGACGTTGTAGCAGACAATTTGGTGTACTATGCTGAGCACACAAAAGACGCAGTTCCACATTGTCCAAGCCCAGAATTACAAGCGTGGTGGTATAGGGAATTTGCTGTACTATAAAAGACAAGATGCTTTATTTTTAGAAAAGTTGCGTTGTTCCTGAAAAGCATAATATTTGAATAGTCTGATTAACTATTTTGTAAAGGATTTAGAAATCAATGCCTTAGCTATTTGCTCCATTAATGATTTGTCCAGTTCCACCAAGGGAGACTCCCGTTTACCCATAAGTGAGGAAAGATTCTTCATTCCTTTATGGACATCTGGGAAGGATTCCAATTCCTCTAAATTCTGCATTCAATTATTAAATACCTCTTTCTTTCGAGTCCCGCAATCACAATTAATGGTTGACCCAGCAGAGTTTAACTAGGAGATGGTAATAGCACAGGGCTTTGGAGCACAAGAGGAAAGTGTTTATTTTAAGCCTCTTATAGATATTTATGAAACTATGCTTCATTTCTTTGAACGAAAACCAAAAAGAAGACAAGCTGGATTTGGAATAAGGCAATTTCACCTTGAGCAAGTGAGGCTGTTTCCAATGTCACTGGAAGAATCCCTTCAAAGATTTACAGCTGCTAATTTGGTGAGAGGTCGCAGGAGACCGAGAATTCAGGCAGATTTCCACAGATTCTTCTCTTTCCTTTCTTACTTGATAAATACTAGAGAGTACAACCTATCTCTCCAGCACATTCCATAAGCTAGCATTGTTCAATCTAGCACTCACCAGCTGTGGACCACTATTTGCACTTCGCAAAATGTGCCAACAAGATGTGCTTGCACACAATTAAACCATAGTAGAAGCTTCAGTCATTTCCCCTTTGCCTGAACTAAATGGCTCTCCAGAGAGCCCAGAGTACAGTCCTACTGGTGTGTACAAAGCATAATTCCTGTCATACACATTTCAGGTCCCACCTCCCCTCTGCTTGGACAAGCTGTTTTGATCCATGCACAAGCAGGACACATCTGAGGTTCTAATATGTGGCACAGTGGTTAAAATGCAGTACTGCAGACTACTTCTGCTGACTACCGGCTGTCTGCAATTTGGCAGTTCAAATCTAACCAGGCTCAAGGTTGACTCAGATTTCCATCCTGGGTAAAAGGAGGACCCAAGTTGTTGAGGGCAATAGGCTGACTCTGTAAAATGCTTAAAGAGGGCGGTAAAGCACTGTAAAGCGATATATGTCTAAATGCTATTGCTACTGCTATGTGCAGATCAGTGCTGGATTCAAACATTTTTACTACCAGTTCTGTGGGCGTGGCTTTGTGGGCATGGTGTGGCTTTGTGGATGTGGCTTTGTGGACATGGCAGAGGAAGAATACTGAAAAATCCCCATTCCCTCCCCACTCCTGGGGGAAGGTTACTGCAAAATTCCCATTCCTTCCCCACCCCACTAACCTGCTTTCCAATTCCATTCTCCTGTTCAGGGCAACAAAAGAAGATCAGCAAGGAGGCAACAGTGGCGGGGCCAGCCGATTTGCCGGTTCTCCGAACTACTCAAAATTTTCACTACCAGTTCTCTAGAACCTGTCAGATCTGGCTGAATACCACCTCTGGTGCATATAGTTTAAAACCATGAACTGCCTGAACTAGTTCAAGACTCCCCCTTATCCGGGCACCCAAGTCTGGGACAGATAATATAAAACCTCTATTTTTTTCTAGATAACTTGTGGTCCCTTCCTTTCTTCTAACCACAATGTATTTACCAGCATTAAAAAATTTCCAAATGTGTTTCCATGCCATTGACTTTATCTTGTCCACAGCCCATGAGTGAGGCAACATTAAGTGATTCTTCGCTGCGCTTGTGGTGAAGCATCATTTCCTCCTTTAACACATCTGACCACAACCTCATAGTGTGTAAAATGTTTTAGGTTTTGTAACACAGTATTTGGGAGGGACATCAAGTAATTCTAGTAATGGGAAACAGAAGCAATATTCCTCGGAAGGACTGTCAACAGAGACATTAATTTTGTAATGATAATTGGTTTGTTTTTTTTGAAGACTCAAGGATGGGTGCACTTCAGCTCTGCATCGGGAAAAGGCCCCATGTATGCTTTGTGCTTAAAATATATAACAACCCATAGCAATATGGTAATTTGAATTTTGTCCCAAGACAACACTTCAAAGAGATGGCAGAGGGACATGGGAGGGTGATCAGCTGATGCTCTTTGCTACTCAACCATCCTGATTGATAGGTCACTGAGGTGGAGAGACAGAAGGCTATTAAAACAATAGCAATAGCAGTTAGACTTATATACTGCTTCATAGGGCTTTCAGCCCTCTCTAAGCGGTTTACAGAGTCAGCATATTGCCCTCAACAATCCGGGTTTTCATTTTACTCACCTCAGAAGGATGGAAGGCGAGTCAACCCTGAGCTGGTGAGATTTGAACAGCCGAACTGCAGAACTGCAGTCAGCTGAAGTAGCCTGCAGTGCTGCATTTAATCACTGCACCACCTCGGTGCAGGTGTGTCTCCATCCCATGTCTCCCAACCCCTTTCTCTGATCCACTGATTCACTGATCCACTGATCTGTTAACTAAGCTATTTTGAGACAAAGATGTAATGCTCTACTGGAAGAATAGACCAATGTTCACAAACAGCCTGAGCAGCAGGTCAACAATGTGGATTTTCCAACATCAAGCAGGGCATCTTGAAAGCTGGCTAAAGTGTCCATCCCAGAAAACTGCCCACAATTGCACAGGTCTGTCCCATTATATATTAAGAGCAGCAATTGGAAGTGGCCTTTTCCGCCTACAGGTGATGCTGGTTGAAGAGAAGATGCAGCCAGGGAAGTCCACCAATTATTGCTCTTAAATTATCCCATATTAAAACTATAAGGATCAACCTGTTTTCAAGCTGT